CCACCCCCCTCGACGGAGCCAGCCTGTTCGTCCAGGCCCGGCACCGCGTTCCTGGCTCCAACAGCCCCAAGGAGAGCTCCGAGGTGTCCCGGCAGAGCTCCCCGTGACCGGGGTGGGAGCGTGAGGGGAAGCACCTCACCGGGGAAAAGTCGTTTGTGCCATTCCGGGAGGATGTACAAGGGCAGGGGGTGACAGGACAAGGGGTGACGGGGAAGAAGGAGATGGAGATGGGCCATCAGGAAGGAATTCTTCCCGCAGAGGGTGGGGAGCACTGGGACAGGTTCCCAGAGAAGCTGTGGGTGCCCCATCCCTGGGAGGGTCCAAGGATGAGGCTTGGAGCAACCTGGGCTATGGAAGGGGTCCCATGGCAGGGGGGTTGGAACTGGATGGTCTTTAAGGTCCCTTCCAACCCAAACCATTCCATCCCTCAGCTCTCCCATGAGCCTCCTTCATCCCGGCCATCACCCTGAAACCGGACGATCCGCAAAAGCCGCCCCGGCTCAGGTCCTTGGCCGCCCGCGCGGCACTGTTCAGTTTTCGGGCCCCAGCCAGGCGGGTGTCGGGAAGAGGAGCTCCAGGATTTTATCGCCTTCGGCGCGACGGGGCCAGCCGAGGAGCCACTCGCACGGCAGCTCCTCACCAGGCGCTTCCCTCCTTCAACCACGGGATTTTTCAGGGCGATTGGTCATAAAACAGTCACTTTGGATCACTCTCAAGACTTAATTTGGGGTTTGGTGAGGGTTTTTTTGAGGAAAAATGCAAGACGGGGGCAATTTTCCACCGGAGACTAACAAAAAGCCGTACGAACAATACACAGCTCCCTGCCAGCGCAGCAATACCCAGACAGAATTCCCATCCATCCGGGCAGATTCCCTTCCCGGGGGTGGGGAGGGGCAGCACAAGTCACACACGTAACCCCCAACAGATTTGGGGAGAAAATGCCCTGATTCGGTAACGGCTTCGCGGAGCCTTTGGCACGGGGCGGCTGAGACTTCGCGGCAGGCGACACGGATTCTCACGTCGAAGCCTGGAATTTCAGTGACATTCCAGTTTGGTTTAATTTAGGGAAGCGTGAGGAGCCAGCGTCAGGAGCAGTTTAACGAGGAAACGCCGCGGAACACACGCACGTCGAAGCCTGGAATTTCAGTGAAATTCCACTTTGGTTTAATTTAGGGAAGTGTGAGGAACCAGCATCAGGAGCAGTTTAACGAGGAAATGCCGCGGAACACACACACGGAACAGTGTTTTCAGCTCAAACCAGCCCAAAACAAGGGATCCTCTGGGCCAGGCGCCGGCCGGGCACTTCGTTAGCGACCGGAGCAACATCAGCCGAGGAGCATCCCGAAAAGTTTTACTTCCCAGACTGGATTCACCGCTTCCAGCTGCCGCAGCCGGGATGTTTTTAGGAAACACCGAAACTCAAACGCCCCAGAAGAAGAGGCTTTTAGGGGCTGGGGAGCAAACCAGGTTGGATCCGGCACAAGCGGAGCTGCCCATCCGCCCTTTCCTTGGCTCCGGCTTTGCACGGAGCAGATGCCGGCTGAGCGCTTCCGCGCGCCGAATCCGGAAACCTGAAGGCTGAATTTGCCCCGGATGGGTGATTTTCAGCCTTGTTCGTTCCCGCAAAGGCACAAAAGAGCTTTCCTCCCGTGAAAAAAGGGGGAAAGAGGCCGGAGACGTGAAGTTTGGTTTCATGTAGAGAAAGCAAAATCCCGTTGGGTCTGGAGAAACACGGACGCCTGCATCCCAAAGGATCTCGATCCCTCATGGAGCACGGAACACAGCACTCGGGCCGGGCAGAGGGAATAACGCTGGGATGGTTTGAAGGCAGGCAAAGAGGCCGAGGGAGCGACGTGTTCTCCGCACGCGCATCCAGCGGGATGCTCAAGGCAGACGCTTCAACCGCCCGCAAGCGGAACGAGTCTCTCCGTCGGCTCAGAACACGGGAATTCTTCCGCTGGACATCCCATTTTTATGGGTCTGTTGGCATTTCTGGGGGCGGGAACTGGAAACACCGATTCTCTTTGTCACCCATCCTCATGGGTCGGGGGGGGGCACTCACCGATTTAACGCCCCTTTCGATCCGCCTCTCCCAAGAAACCGGGAGACACAAAGCAGCGCCGGCTCCGACCATCCTTCCTGTTTACGGCTCGGGAGCGTAACCCCCGCGTCCCGGCGTGGCGCGTACGACAGCCCATCTGCCTCGCATATTAAACACAGAGGAGGAAAAGCGATTCCACATGGCGCCGAGCTCCTCCGGAGCCAGCCGAGCGGCCATCCCCCCAAGCGCTCCCCCCTTGGAAGCCCGCCGCGACCCGCCGCCGTAGCCGGAAGAAGTCGGGAACTCGGAAGAGTTGCAAAACGTCTCCTTTTGGGTGGGGTGGAAGATATTTTCCATCACAGGGCTGGGAAAATATGTGCTTTAACCTTTTTTTTTCCAACAAAAAGGAGTTCAGGAAACCCAGACCTCGGCCTCCTCCGGGGGCTCTCGATGCTTCGGAGCGGGGTGCGGGACGGAACACCCACAACAGCCTCTCCCGGCACCGGCGGAGCCCGTTTCTCCTCCCAGCCACGGGATGAGACGCCACAGCGGAGAGCAGGGATGCTGGGGGATCCCGGGAAAGCTGTGTCCACTGGGAATGGCAAGGATTGCCCAGCAGAACCCGCTTTTTTGAGTGAAATGAGCTTTATTTTCCCCCCCGTCCCAACATCAAGCTGAAGGAATTACGCACGGAGCACTAAATCGCTACGGTGCAAGAAGCCGCCTCCTCCTCCAAAACATAAAAACCCACCTAAAAACACTAAGAAAACCCAAACAGCCTCCACTTCCTCCTGACTTTATCGCATTTTACCTGTTCTGGGCATGAAACGAGTAGGAATTAAACCCCAAGCTTCGTGGCCGCTCCTTGCCTCCCCCAAATCATCCGGCTGCCCCTCAAAATCCACGTCAAATTGATTTTTTGGGAAGGGCTGAGGGCGTAAGGCCGAACGGTGGCATTAAGGTTTCGAGGAGAAGGAGACCTGTGAATGTCCCGAGTCCTGGAATCGGGAAGTTTCTCCCCTGGGGACAGGCTGGGAGAGTTGGGGGGTTCAGCCTGGAGAAGGGAAGCTCCGGGGAGACCTCAGAGCCCCTTCCAGTGCCTGGGGGGCTACAAGAGAGCTGGGGGGGCTTTTCCCAAGGGCAGGGAGTGACAGGACAAGGGGTGACGGGTTTGAACGGAAAGAGGGGGATGGAGAGGGGCCATCAGGAAGGAATTCTTCCCGCAGAGGGTGGTGAAGCACTGGGACAGGTTGCCCAGAGAAGCTGTGGATGCCCCATCCCCGGGAGTGTCCAAGGCCAGGCTGGATGAGGCTTGGAGCACCCTGGGCTATGGAAGGGGTCCCTGCCCATGGCAGGGGGTGGCACTGGGGGGGCGTTAAGGTCCCTTCCAGTCCAACCCATTCCATGACTCCCTGGGGAAAAGGCAGACTCATCGGGTGTTTTTTTTACTCACTTTTACTTCACCCGCTTTCTCAGTCTGGGCACCAGCAACCCCCAATCCGGCTGGAGTGGGAATTTCTCCTTTCCTCACAGCCCAGCCCGGACGAGCTCGCCGTGGGGCGGGCAGATCCGCAGCGCAAGGGTCGAACCAGCAGAAAAACCTCCAGGAACGGCCCCAAACGCTCGTTATCGATATTTAACCTAACGACAACAGTCAGAGTCGCCTCCTCGGTCACTCGGGGAGCAAACCTCCCGCCGAACGCCGCCGGGATAGGGAACGGCAGGGCACAGCCTTGGGAAAGGCATCCCAACCGCTTCTTTTTGCTAGTTCGTAGGGAAAAGGGTGCTCAAAGCTCGGTGGCGGGAAGCGGGACCCTCGTCCAAGAAAGCTGCCGTGCGAATTCCAGGGAAGGACGAGGGTCTGGGAGAGATCCAGCCCTGGACAGGACAGAAGGGTTGCACGGACCAAGGAAAATGGGTTATAATGGGAATCCCAGACAACGGGGGCCGGGCCAGGAGAGTCCAGGCACAAGGCTGGAAGGACAAGGGGGAGCTGAGTGGGAAACATCCCAGGAAAATCCCGGACAGTGATGGGACTCAGGGCGCCAAGACTCCAGGGGGGTGGACAAGGGGTCAAGGAGAGCCCCGGGGGCACAGGCTGGCGGGGAGGGAGGTGCCCGGGGCCG